CCCCAAAACCCCAAAACCCCTGCATGATTGCTTAAATAATTATGCTTGAAAACAAGTTAAGAAATACAAGTAAAAATAGCATTTAATAATATAATATTGAAAGATTACCTGCAATATCATATGGCTTCTAATCTTAATCCGAATGGACATCAAAATGCTTAAAATTTAAATGATGCTCTAACTAAAATTAAGCCTTAAAAGGCTTAAGACCACATATACTAGTCAATGAGTGACGGTGTTAAACAGACACTTGCGGAATTTGGATTGTTGGATAGGGATTTGTCAGACAACGAAATAGACTAAAAAGAGCGCAAACATTCAATGAAGCTTATAATGGACTCATTTCAAATGTTGAAAAATAGACGATAAAATAGAATTTTATCTTAGTCCATAATATAGAGCTAGACCACACTCAGACGAGACATCGGTAAGTACTTTGACAAGTAAATTTTAATTTTAGATGTATCTGAAGATCCCAGCATTAGTCATGTGGATTAAAGACTTAATGCAAAAGCATTAAAACGCAAGTTGGTGAAAGTACTTCATTCAAAAATTGAAAAGTTAAAGGAGAAAATTTCAAGAAAAAGATAATTAAAGCAGCATTAAAAAAAGAATAGACTTGAAAAAAATCAAGATTAATAATAGTAGAAATTGTAAACTCGAAAAGAATCCATTGAATTAAATGAAGAAAAAGAGGTCCTAATAAGGTTGCAGCCCTTAACAATGTCAAGCAAAGATTATGTATAAAAATAAAAAAGCACTAATAGTCATTTGCAATTCAGACTAAAAATTAACATGAAGTATGCTGCAGCTAACTGTAAGAAATAGAAATCAGTGCGAGATATTATAAACTTTATTTGCTAGAAATGGTAGCTTAGGAGAAGTTAGGTGGAATTGAGATTATGCAGATCTCCAGCAGAAATAGTATAATAGGATTCTAGATCATTACATAAATTCGATTACAAATCATAAACTAAAATTGTGGATTTGCTGAAAATGGAATCTTAAAATACAACCTAAAAGTAATTATAGGAGATGAACAGCATGAACAATAAACTTACTTTATACTTGCTCTATGATATAAAGATAAATGCTAGTTAACAAGAAGAGGGCTTTGATTCAGACAATGAGTATGACTCTGAAAATCCTGATTATAGTAGCAGCAGATCCTAGTAATCTAGAAGTAGCAGTGATGAGGAATCTAAAGCTGCGGGGAAGGATGAAGAATTAGGTGATGATTTTGCAGACATTTTCACAGACATACTGAGTATCATGGTCTTGCAAAAGAAACAAAAAGTAAACTCGCCAAGGTATAGGGGAGGTGGAGCGAATCCATTAAATGAATTGTAATAGGATTCTGTTCTCTTCAATAAGAAACCTGAGAAAATTTTAAAAGCTATTGGTCAGAATCCTGAAGTTCCTGATTTCATCTAAGGTCTCGAGTATTATAGTTAATTGAGAAGCAGTGTTCAAGGTTCAGTCGTTTCTAATTAGAATTAGGGCTTTAGGTCTCTGTCTTAAAACAATAAGGATAAGAAACAAGAAACTCTTAGCTTCTCGAAGTCGCTTAACAATCAAAGTGTCAGTACATTTGAACAAAAACTTGAGAAATTTGGAAGGAAAAATACTTAACCGAGCTAAGAATAACAAAATAAAAACTCTGATTAACATTTTTAAAATTCACCTAGGCATTAATAAAATGATGCTAAGTAGTCAATTATCTTTCATAAGATCTACAGTCCTTCAAGCTCAAGGCAATCAGCATTCCAGCCTGTGCAGAAAATTTCAAATTGCCATAATGAATCCTAAACTTAAAGCAATTAAAATGATATCAGATCAAATTAGGTAGGGGCGAAAATAACATCATTCAAGTAATACTTCGAAAGTAAAAAGTAATCCTCAGCTGGTCCATCATAATGCCCTAGTATTTAAGCTAATCCAAATGAAAATATTGGCAAGAGGAATGATGCATGTATCGCGAAGCAAGGACCATAACATCAAATTCAGCAAATCCTAGAGCGAAAACTGAATCAAAGATCAAATTCTTAAGACTCCATTTCTGCTGTTGATTATAATAATTAAACAGATTCTATGCAATGCAAAGAAAATCTTACTACTAGCAATTTTATCAATCTAAATTTTGGAAACATCAATAAGCGATCCCGCTAGGATCCAGAACAGAAACCACTCTCTGTGAAGTAACAGAGAAGCAGTAACAGTAATATTTTATTCGGAGGAGATAAAGGTAGAATATAAGGAGGAAACATTGGATTTCAGGACGAGGAGAATAGTATAATGAGAACATATGGCTTTGGTTAAAATAGCATGAATAACTTGCTATGGCAAAATAATAGCAATATTTTCCCGACAGCATCAAACATGGTTGGAGGTTTTGGGATGCCCAAATAAAACAATAATTTCAACGCTATGCAAGGACAGGCATCCTCTAGATTGAGTTTGTCTCCCTAGTAATATGGATACATGAATGGATAATTTGAAAATAGCAATATGATGCCTTTTGGGAGTTAAATGATTAACTTTAAAAATCAAAATTAGTTAACAGGAAATTACGAGTAAAATTACAATCCTTTTTCAGTTAGAACTCCTTTTATGAATGAATCGAATCTTCCTTTTTCTAATCAAATAAATGCCAGTATCACTCCAAAGAAACTTGTATTTAAAGATCAAGAAGAGAACAATAATGCTGATAAATTGGCTAAAGCAGCAGACAAAATAAAGTAATAGACAAAAGAACCAATTAATAAAATAAAGGATTTTCATATTCCTACTTAGACTAATAATGCAAGCATTGAATAAACTAAAGAACAAAATTAACAGATTAACGAAGATTCATAGAGTAAAATTGATGTAGAATAGGCTTAGGAAAGTTAAAATAGAGTGGACTCTTGTAACGTACTACCTCATCCTGATCAAATTTTTCCAAAAGGATACCAAGATGATGCTAAGAAAACTGCCCCAAAGCCTAAAAGGTAATCACCTATAAAGAAAGATACCAGTAATACAGACAGAAAGTAAAAAGAGAGGAAGGATAAAGATGATAAAAATTAGAATAAGTAGAATCAAACTAGCAATTAGTAATAGCAACAATATCCTTAAATACCTCCATTCCCAATGATGCCTGGATATGGTATACCACCATTTTAACCCGCTTTCTATCCTTTCTAGTAGACTTTTATAAATAACTATAATCTCAAACTCTGCTAGGAAACTAGAGAGAATAACAACTTGATGTTTTTTAATCAACAAAATTTTACATAAAATTTGAATACAGATAAGAAAAAAAATAAAAAAGAATAAACTTCTTAACAACAAAATTAAGCATTTAGCATGCAATAAAATCAGCAATAAGAGACTAGTACAAATAAGAAGAAATAAAGTAAGAGCCAAGGTGCTACTAATTATGCTAACTAGTAGTAGTAGCAGTAGTAGCATTAGTAATACATAAATGCTTAAATGAGGAACTAATATTTCTAATACTATCAATCAGTTTATGGTCCGAATTTTAACAATCATAACATGGCTCCTCAAGCCAATCCATATTTTTATAGTCTTATAAACCAAAATGAGAATAACATCAAAAAGGATAAAACTCTCGAGAGTAACTAAAAGAGTAAAAAGTGAAAGAAATTTATCATCTTTCTCCATATCTTTAATTAAAAAAGTATTGAGATATTAAACTAAGCAACAAACAGTTGCATAAAATAGATTTTGAGAATTATTAACTTTATATTTTTTACCTAATTTCACAATTTTTAATTTTTTACCAGCTATCATAATTTTTTAACTCTCGGGGTTTTGGGGTTTTGGGGTTTTGGGG